CTTATTCCATTTCACTCTTGTTTCTGATGAAACAACCCCTCACAATCTGATATGAGTGAAAGGCAACACAGCATCAAAAGAAATGCTTGGCTGCCAAGCAAAAGACAAAATGTACCAGTGGGGTGCTGTGCATCGGCACTGCTTCCAGGAGGCAGCCGTCTTCCAGATCTTGCCCTCAGAGAGAACACAACCAAAATGTTTTAATGAAGAATACTGGCAGTTGGCTACAAGAAACCACACTTACTCCTTCTGCAACACCATTTGGACTCGCATCACTTGTGCATGTTAAAGGGTGTTTGGATTCCTGCCCTGCCCTTCCAGCCTTGACCTGCCTACCCCGGCCTCCGGTGGTCCCTGTGCAACTCCAGAGGGGAACTGTTGGGTATTGCTTCCCCCTGCCATGTATATCAACCGAAGCATTCATTTTCCAATGAGCTTTCCAGTTGTATTGGCACAACTTTGGGGTGGTGGGAGAGAGCAGAGGTACTGGAGTGAAAAAGAGCGACTGAAGGCAACAAACTTCCCAGCTGGTTTCGCTGCCTAACTAAACACGTAGAAGTGAACCTGGGACTAGCTTTGAGTTAGCTGAGCAGCAGCCCTGGTGAGCTAGAGCGCAGCGCAGTCACCTGCACAGCTTCTGTTTCACAAGTGGGCTCTGCAGCCTGCGCTGGTTTGGTGCCATGACAACACTGCCTGTGGTACCTGCAAGAGCGAGTTTAAATATAGTTTATCCGCGGTCTCAGTGAGCTCTGGTCTGTGCAGTGCAGGCAAACAGCAAGATATAATTACGGAGTATTCAAGTCGGAAGCTAAACACTCTGTTAAGGGCGCCTTTCTTTCACTTGCACAGTCCCTTTTACAGTTATCTCTAGGGCCTGTTGACTTCAATCCACTTGTTTTCAAAACATGCCTGCAGGGCAGGGAAGCAGCCCTGTCCATGTCCTGTAGAGTGAGATCTGAAAAGCACCAGGTGTGGAAACTTGTTCGCTTTGCAAGCAGCAAGAAAGGTTTGGAGCTTTACTGCTCCCATTTACAGCTCCCACCTGTTTGAGGGCACTCAGAGATCCACAGCTGAGCTGATGGGCTGTGGCTCTTCATTCTTCAGCACAATGCTGGGCAGCTGATGGAGGTGGCCCAAGCTGTTCTGACTTGTATGTAAGGTGGACTAGGAACAGAAGTATTTTCTGCCCTACAGCCTGGACAACAGAGGCAATAGCCTCCAACTGACAAGTGCTGGTGGCTGTTGTGGGGTGAAGCAGTGTCCTGAAATGCCAGGTATGGGAGGTTCAGGCTAGGAGGTTGTTGTGGAGCAGTGTTAATGCATGTCATCCTTGATCACTAAGCTTCCTTTCTCCTTCAAGAAGATTATCCTTCCCTCTGGAATCCTTGTCAGTGTTGTAACTATGAAAGTACAGATATTCAAAATTAGAGTAAATGTACAAGTGAGAGTGGTTTTCTACTCTAAAATCTAACTGTATTTACATAATTGGGTTATGGTCACAGAAGAGGAACTGAAACATTCACCCTGCAATGATAGAAATGTCAGAGATCCCCTCACCCACACATCGGCCAGAAGTTCCCTTGAATTAATTGTGCAGGCACAGAGCACACACTGAGATTGAAGCCAGCTATGAGGAGGCTGCTCTGAAAAAGCAGTGGTGTTTTTTTGTTGTTGATGGTGGTTGGTTGGTTTTTGTTTGTTTGTTTTAAACCCAGTCACTTTGGAGATCTGAGTCAGAGTTTACTGCATACATTAGGTTGCCAGCCCTTGCGTCAGGTAACCGGGATGTAGGTGAGATGAGCTGCTGGAAATTTCACAGCCTCTTAGGTAAAGTTTGCACCTATCAAACAGTGATGTGGGATCACAGCCAAGGCCCTCTTGGTGTTTCAAAAATGCCAGTCAGTGTAATACATGGATAGTGACAGAGAGCTTAAGCTTTATTAAGCCACTAATTTGAAGGAAAAGGAAAGACTGCTTTTTGTTAACTGTGAGACAGAAGCCATTGTTTGAATGGTAGGAGATTTGCCTCTGAGATATGCTGAAGTGATCTTTTTTTATCAGGAGCTGCTGTGCACTCGTCCTTGACAGGAAGGGCAAGCTGAGCAAACAGGGCAGAGGACGAGCATGTGAGGTGGCCGCGGGGGAGCCAGCAGCAGGGACAGAGCTGCTCCGACTGCTCGAAAATCTCTTCAGCAACTGGGCAGGGGCTGAAAGCACAAAGACAAGATTATGTTGTGAAGATGTTTCCTCACAGAGGAGTCTGGGTTATTTCTGTTTCAGTATCGCTTCCTTCACACCTCTTGTATTGCTATGATACAGGATTAACATCGAAAAGTCTGGAGAAACTTCAGACTTCCCAGAGCATGGCCCAAGGAGTAGCCAATGCTCTGTTGTCCATAGCTGCATTCAGTTTAGAGTTTGCTTGCTGTGAATGTACCTTTTTTAAAAGCTTTTTTGCTTTGTTGTAATTTAAGAACAATCCTTCCAATGTCTCTATTGTCAAGTATGTGCTGAGATGTATGGGTATTTCTGCCAGTATGGTCTTTCCATCGCAACTTGAAGCTATGGAATGTGCAAGAGTGGTCCTTAACTTTATTCCTATTCAGAAGTGGAAAAGGAGGCAGTGACAACAAAGAAAATTTTCATTTTCCTTCTAAAACCCCACCAGTTTGAACAGTCTTTTGCTGAGTTTCCTGATGTGGCTGTTTGCATTCTTTTGTGAATTCAGACTGACTGTTAGCAGCCTCCAAATAAAACATGGTTATATGAAGATTTACCTTGGCTGTATTCTTGCTTGGCTACATGACACGCATGGCAGCTAACTGGTTCAACTCATGCTACATGCCTTTTTCCAGCAGCTGCTTCCTATCCAGGCTCACTGCTGCCCAAATTAGCAAGATTGGTGCTTTAGCTCAAGAAGTAGGAGATTTAGTTCTGGTGTTTGTGTCAGTGATCAATGAAGCCAGGAAGCTGCATTTACAAAGTGTTCAAAGGCCCTTTTATTCTGAGAGAATCAAATCCAGGCTTCTGTTAAATGCAGTAAAGTCTCCCATCATTAAAACATTGAGGCTGCAAGTTTGGCCACAAAAATGTTGCAGTAATGCAGTTGGTATTCAGTCCTTTCTGTCAACATTGCCAAGTCTGCCTTTTATTTATTTATTAATTTTCACAAGTCTCATGTCTTTCATGCATTCCTTAAAGCCTCAGTGTTTACAGCGCGCAGTTTACAGTGTTTACTCATCTGAGAATCTCAGCTTCCAGTTTTTAAAGATCTGCTACTAGCCCTCGTGGACAGGGAGGAAGCAGAAACCTGATAAGACTGATCCTCACAAGCAAAACCAGAAGGCTTGTAAAAGAAGAAAAAAATTAGAAAGTCAAATCATGATTTTTAAGAGGATCTCATGAACTTGGGCTCTCATTTATGTGCCTCAAGTGCCTGAAGTAGACGGTACTAATGATCGCCTGGGTCAGGCCACGACTCAAGTGCAGAGGTGCTATTAGAGAGCCAGAGAACACAGCAGCACTGCGATGGGTTGGGGGAGGAATCCTCTTTCCATTTATTATATTCCTGTTTTACCTTCACAGCCTGAGTCTTGCATTGTGCACCCAGTTTACTGTGTGTTTCATAAAGGCCAGAGGACTCATCCTGGTGCTCTGAAAATGCTTAGCCCATCTCTGGCTGGATTTACTGTACAGGAAGAGCAAATGGTTGCTTAGGAAAGCACGGTATTTAATGAGAGAGCTGGCCTGGACATTTTTTCAAGCAAACAAATAAAAGCCAGCAACTCTCAGTCTGGCACTGACTGTTCTGTTCTGTTTGGTGCGTTACCGCATTGTCTTCCATATCCCTTTTTTTTTTATTTCTTTGTTATAGAATTTCACAACCCATGGCCTGGATACTGCAATTCCTGGAGGAATGCACAGCATAATGGATACTGCATGATCACAAAATAGTTCACGTTCTACAGACTTTTAGCAAAAATGATGCATCGTGGCTGTTTCCCAATTTTCCCTGCTTCAGTGCTTTTTCTTTTCTTTTTTTTTTTTTTTTTGGTGAAATTCCTTCAGCTTCTCCTCAAAGGGACTACCCAGTGAGAGGAGTGAGAGGAAGTGCAACCTTTCTCCGCCCAGCAGCAAAAATGGCTTTGGTGCACCTCCAGCTTTCATGACATCTCATAACACAGCACAGCAGCCAAAACAGGCAGTATGTTCTTCCCCGTTCTTCAGGAAGGGGAAGCGGGATGCAGAGATGTGAAGTGTCCCACAGCAGGCGCCCAGGGAAGGGCACAAATCCCACCGCCCCCACCACAGCCAGGGGAAGGATCTGTGGTTGCAGGCTGGGTACTTTTGTCAGGCTGCTAGGGCTGGAGGAGCTACAAGGGAGCTCCTGATGTTATGGTGTGGTGGGAGGAACTACGAGAGAGAGAACTCCTCAAATTATGGTGTGGTGGGAGTAACTACAAGGAAACTCCTGATGTTATGGTGTGGTGGGAGTAACTACAAGGGGATCAAGTTATGGTGTGATGGGAGTAACTACAAGGAAACTCCTGATGTTAGAGTGTGGTGGGAGTAACTACAAAGGAACTCAACGGTGTGATAGGTGTAACTACAAGGGGATCAAGTTATGGTGTGATGGGAGTAACTACAAGGAAACTCCTGATGTTACGGTGTGGTGGGAAGAACTACAAGAGAGAGAACTCCTCAAATTATGGTGTGGTGGGAGTAACTACAAGGAAACTCAGCAGTGTAATAGGTGTAACTACAAGGGAATCAAGTTATGGTGTGATGGGAGTTAACTATAAGAGAACGCTAAGTTATGGTGTTTTATTTTATTTTTCACAAGCACATTGAGGATGACGACCTCAATGATTATTAAGAAAAAAAGGCGCCTAAGGCGTCCTGCTGAGGAGGGGGCACCCCGCAGGCCGCGTCCCTCCAGCAGCACCGCCCTCAGCTGCGGGAGGGAGTGAGGCGGCCGCGGCCCCACCTGGGCCCGGGCCCTTCCTGAGGGGCCCTGCCCGGTCCCTCCCGGTCCCCAACCGGCCCCGTTCCTGTTCCCGGTCCCGGCCCCAGCGGCCGGGCGCAGGCGCGGTGCTCCCCGGCCGCCCGTGCCCCCCGCCCCGTCGCAGGGCTGACGCGGCGGCGCCGGCGCAGGGCGCTCGGGCCCGGCGGGGCGGAGCGGAGCCAGGAGCCGGGAGCCGAGGCCTTGGTGGCGGAGGCCGGGATGCGGCGGGAGGCACCGGCGGGCAGAGGTGAGGCGAGGCCGGGCTGCGGGGAGCCCGGAGCGGCTCAGCCCCGCTGGGTTCGCGGCGCTGGGGCCGGCCCCGCGGTGCTGGGGGGGAGGGAGGCGGAGGCCCGGCAGAGCCCTCGGGGCGCTGGGGGAGGAGGGCGGCTGCGGGACGGGGCTCGGGGTGAGGCTGTTTCATCCCGTAGCGGCCCCTCGGCAGCCCCTGGGCACGGCCCCTGCCCCCGGGCTTCAGTTTCAGCCCTGCCCTCCCCGCCGCCATCGCCTCAGCAAACCCGCTCTGGTCCACAGCCCAGGCTTGGAGCTGTGAGGAGGAGCCGGTCGCCCTTGGGAGAAGCCTCACCTTCGCTCTTACCTGTCCGTGCATCGCTAAAAATTCATTTTCTTCACCAAGCCGGGGGGAGATGTCTTTAACACTGGCAAAGATGTGCGTGTGTTTTAAGGAGAGGCTTGGGGAAAAAGTCAGGGAGACCCCACACACGTGCCGGGACCTTGGCTGAAATTCCAGTTCCCATCCCCTTCACGAGGCTCGGGTGAAAAAGCCTGGTGGGTTTATTTCAGCCGCTGCTGTGCTCCTGCTTTGCAGGGGTGTTCAGGAAGGAGAGGACAAGGTTTGAGTGATGTTTCATTAAAATCCACCTGAAAACTGAAGATGAAAAACGTCCTCATGCCTTGTTTGTGCAAAAGTAACCTTGGACTCTTTAATTTTGCTCTTTCATCATCCTGGGTTTTGACGGTATTGCTCTTAAGTGCTACTTTATCTGACATGCGTATCTCCGCTAATCTAGTTTTGCCTAAAGGAGGATGTTGCCATAAATAAACTGAAAAAAAAATCTTGCCAGGAATAAATTTAGCAGGTGTGTAGCCAATTGGGTGAGATTGTGGGGTAGTTCCCGAAAGCTGTGGTTCAGGGAAGGGAAGAGACCAAACCAACGGTGAGCACTGAAGCCTTGCGGTGGCTGCCTGTGACAACAGGTCACCAGCTCCATCCACGCCCTGCCCTGCCCCACCAGGAGCTGGTCAGCTTGGACTTTGGCAACTTCTGCACAGCCCTGCGTTAATACGTTAGGTTTTGTCAAAGAGTGTTACCCCGGAGCTCGTTTCACCTCTGGGACAAAACTGACTGTTTGGATAGCAGTCACCGAAATGTGCTGAGCGGGTCAGAACAGAAAGCGGGGAGGGGATAGTTCCCAGTGCTGTGAACCCACATTGCTTCTGCGTGTGGTAACTGAGCCATTTCAGGCTTCCTGACCGTACCAGCTCACTTCTGGCCTCGCCGTGGTTTCGAGAGACGCTCTGCCCAGCTTCCTCTCTCTCTTTCCAGCGCTGGATGCCGGTGGGGGAGGGAGGGCACCTTGCGCAGCTCTCTAGCTCCGGCTGCTCTCCTTCCTGCTCATTGCCTGTCCTTGAGAGCCTGCCCCACATCTCCCCGGGGAAAAGCTGGGCTCGCGGAGTGCCTGAAGGAGCTGCAGCCTCCTGTGGCAGCAGGCGGTGCCTGAGTTACTCGTACCCACGCAAAGCAGCGCGCCCAAGGCTGTTGGCCTTGTTTACCTTACTGATGCTCTTCAAAACAAGCCTACACTCTGAATTGTTGTCTATGCTTTGAATAGCAATACCAGGAGTTAGCGAGCTGCCTGTGACCGAGTTACCTGCTACACGTGCCTCGTTCTGGTGCTCGCTGCCACCTACACCCCTCGTAGCTGTGCTGCTGGAGCTGTGTGCACGGACAGAAGGTTCCCCTGCTCTGCTGCTTCAGGTGGCAGCGAGAAGCCTTTGGTTAGAGGGCTGGGAGCAGCACTGCCTGGGGCTGCCTTTCCTGTTTGTGTTTGTGCCTTTTAGGTAAAACCTGGACTTTCTAAAACTGCCAAGGATTAATTAGTAGTTAAACTGCAACAGGTTTAAAACTGCCGAAGGATGTGAACGTGTAGGATCCTTCCCAGTATCTGATTTCACTCGAGGCTGCAACCATATAAGTTGCAAATGGAGTGTGCTGTTAATTGCTCTCATGAAAATGTAACACGGATCTGTGTTACCGAGTGTAGGATCAAGGGCCTTTCATCCCGCTTTGTGCAGGTGTTCAGGGAGCTTTAGGCCAGTTTTATGTCACGTTGACATAAAGTTATGCTCTCTTGTAGCTTACCAAGAGCTTTTGGGATAATTCTCTGTTCTGAAAACTGAAGTACTGAGGGGCTCCCAAGTCTGTTTTTAAAAGTTGTGAGTGCAGGGCACGTGTGTAACCAGAGTCCACCATCGGTACAGAGCTGGAGCTGTTCGGGATTGTCCTCATGTAGTGCAAAAGAGATTGTGCCTTTTTACAGTTAATCATTTGCAGATGGTATGCCAGGCACAGCTGAAAGGGTGAGGACTAACGACAGTCAATTTCTTACACTTATTGTCTTTGGAAGATACACAGCTGGGGATTTTCTGGATTTGAGACTCTGCTGGTATGGACTTGGCAGCATCCCTGTGTAGCGAAGGTGTGGCTTTTCCTAGCCAAATGACTCATCTGATGGTGAAAGGGTCCTGAATTCTGAGGTTCTTCACCTGTGCCAGTGTATGAGGCAAAGAAGTGACTTCTTCAGGTCCTTAAACTTCAGGAGGTGCTTGCTTTGTTTTGGGTCTTGCATCGTTTGTTTCAGTTTCTTTCCTAGCAGAGCGCTTTGAAGCTGTGCTTTTGCCTTGCTGGTTTACATTGCCAAGTAAAATCAGTAGTACTCTCGTAGCACTGACAGAAAGTATGTTCGTCAAGCAGCACCTTTTAATGAAATATTTGCGGATGGATTATCTTTTGTCACTCGAAGTAATACAGCTATTAGCAAAGTGAACTGTTTCAGCTCCTAGGACTGGGATTAACTGCTCCTCGGAGGCCCTTGCTTTAAAGGAATCCAAACTCCACATTGATTGTGTTTGAAAAAGGAGACGGGATGGCAGGAAAAGTTTGCTTGTGTAAAATGGCATAATCAGACTCTTCTCCCTGTTTTTAGGCAGAATCTTTTTCACACAGCTTTAAATGTAGAGAAATTGGTGTCTGCATCACAGAGAAGCATGAAATGTTTTTAATCATCTGAGCTGTAATGTCAAGCATTTCTTTAACAATCTCAGTCATAACGCGAAGCAGAGGAACAGGTGGGCAGAGGAGCTTCCCTGAGGTCTGTCTTTGTTGCAATTTAAGGCTCGATTTCGTGACACTAATACATAAATGAGCCATTTCGATTGCTTTTGCAATTGATTGCACTGAACCTGTGGCACCACTGTTGCCTCACAATGCAAGTTTGCCTCAGGTTCTTTTTGTTGCCAGGGCTTATCTTTGCTAGGATCTAGCCGAGTATTTTTCCCACATGGGTAAAACAATGGCAGCTGTAGGCATTTCGGCCCTGAGTAATCCCCGAGCTGCCCAGAAAGCCAGCAGCTGCTCAGCCTGCCTCTGCATCTGAGGTGGTGTCTGGAGGGGATGCTTCTCATTGGACTCCGCTGTGAGAGACAAAGGAAGGATGCAGAGACCCCAAACCCTTCAAGAGTGTTCTTAAAAACCAGCAGGTATGTTACTGGGTGAGTGCACGTGTTACTGAGACTGAGAAGCCGTGGCACGGGCACCTCCATGTGCTGGGCTCTTCCTGGAGTGCTCGAGACTCACGGCGCCAGCAGGAGCCCCTCGTATACGTGGCGCTGTTGGGTTCGCAGTGATCTCACTGGGTTGGTTTGCTTCACCTGGGAAGTGTGACTGGAATAAGCTGTCCTCACAAGAACGTGGTTTGGTGGGTGCTCGCTGGGGCAACTCGAATGTTTTGTAGGTAACGTGCACGATTGGCAGATGTGTGGAGTTCGTGGCGTAAAGGCAGGCGTGAACTGGATCTGATGTGGAGTAATAAGCAAGTGCTCGAAGAGCAAGTGTGAGAAAATGGGCTGGATGGAATGTTATGTCCTGATTTTTTCTATGATAACGAAATTGTGTGGTGATTAGCAGGGTTACAAAAGAGCTAGGCACCATTGCAGCATTCACACTGTGAAGCTGTGCACACCAGGTCCTGCACATCACATCACTGTCAGCAGAGGTAGCCTGCTTCTGCATGAAGTTGCAGGTAGCGACTCCTGACTGCTTTGTGTGGTGGGAATGCCTCACCTGAGTCCTAAATGATGTCCTTTATCCCCATGGCCTTCCTGTTACCCTCCCACCCCTCCACAAAAATAAACAAACTAAAAAATTGTCACCTCCTGTTTACATATGAGATTAGTAGGGTGAAAAAATGAAGAGCTTCTCAAGCTTGACTTTAAATACCTGTTTTTGCAGGTGCCTGGCATTCCTATTCACCTCTAAGTCCAAGTGTTAACGCTTTATTTCCATGGATAAGCTGCTTTCTTCTCAGCTAGACAGCACATGCATGTCATGCTTGAGGTAGATGTGGCTATGGAAAAAACTTGTAATAACAGTCTGCAAGTCAGCATCAGGGGGTTAGAGGAGGGGAGGGCAAAGTCCATTTCTGGACTTGAGAAAAACACAAACTGTACTAAAATACAGGACACGATGTACTTGGTTGGGCTGCAGCAGCTCGCATGCACCATCCCATAGCGTGTCTGGCTGATGCCTTCCCCTTCGGGATACTTCCACCTTCGAGTTAATGCTTTTAGCCTATTAACTGGGTGCCGTGCAGGGAGGATGAATATATATTGCCTTGCAGGCTTTACGCTCCCGTGCAGTGGGAGATAGATCCTTACTGCACACGCCGAGACGCGGGTTTTTATTGGGAAGGGTATTTTAAGGTGATTAACTGGAGTTCTGCTTGGTTAGTGCAGAGATACACCCGGCTGTAGCAGCTGATGGCTTTGCTGTCTGCTGGAGCGTGCTGTTCCTGTAAACACCGAAGAACCACTTCAAAGAGGGAGCTGTGCCCTTCTTCGTGGAGTCAGAGCAGGAGAATTTCTGGGGTGGCAGCACGGACCCTGCCGGTCCCTTATGGGAAGGATTTGTGTGAGTGTGCCAAGTGTCCTCAGAGTGCTGCTGGCTTTTGTTGCACAAGTCAGCGTTTGTGCAAGGGGATGGAGTCAGGTACCTGCACGCACTTGTTGGCTAACGTGGACTTCAGAATTGTATTTTGGAAAAGCCTTTTGAGGAAAGTTAGTTAATTGTGCCTGCTCTGCAACGTGGGTACTGAACGAGGCTTAACCTCAGGCCAGAGTCAGAAATTACATTTGGGAGTGTGGGCTGGGTGGGGATTACCTCTTTATTGCTTTACCTCAAGGGAAGGTAAATGAGGAGAGGCTGTTTACACATGAGCCATTGAAATTATTGCCTTTTTTTTTTTTTTTTCCCTCTTTTGCTGTGAGTGAGAATGTCCTCGGGAACGTGGGACAGTGTTTGGAGGACGGGTGGAATTTTAGATAGGCTTGTTGCCTGAGGAATGTGCCTGGGTGTTTTGCTATTATGTTACAGTCCAGATAACTCTGAATTCATTTCCCTTATTCTTTCAGCTGATTTTCAAGATCATAATGCAGCAGAAAAATGAAAAAACACAGAAGAAATTTGCTTCTGAAAAGAAGTCAGTTGCTGGCCCAGTCTAGAAGGTGCACCACTGGATTTGGGGAGCTTGGGAAATGCTGCTTCCAAAGGCCATTTTTCCTAGCTAAGAAGAAAAGACAGAGTGCTCAGCTAATTGTGAGCTTAAATCACGACAAACTGTATGGAAGCCTGCAGTGCAAAAGGAAGGCTCTTGAGCTCCCAAGCAGGTTGGCTCCTGATGTGCATCTAAATGCAGAAATTTATCAAAAACCTGCTGTAGACCCATAGAGCTTTCCTTACAAAAATACCAAGGGCAGAAAGATCCTGTCCCTATCAGAGAGCTGAAAGCCCGTCTGGAGAAGCGGTAAGAAAACTCAACAATGAATCCTTTCAGAGTGAAGATCCCTTGAACAAAGAATTAGAAACTGGCGCTACTCTTAATAGCATCTCTGGCAATATCCATTATGTCTCATGTGGTACACAGCATGGTGCTGAATTACCTGTAAAGAAAGGTGGCTCTGTATATAGCGTGGAAGAAAGCAATAATGGTGTGGGCAACACAGTCCTGGTAGTTTTCAACAACTATAAAAGGAAATGCTGTTGCAAAAGGAGTGGAATGGAACTTGTGGCCCCTTGACAACCAGAAAGAGGTCCAAATTTAGCCATAATACTGTAAAAAAGAGATCTTTATTTATGATGCATAAGAAACTTTCTATGGTTAAATTTCGGTATAGAATTAGAAAATCCCCAGAACTTCGAGCAAGAGGCAAAACCTGCAAACTGAGAAAAATCAAGCCGAGGTGGGTGGAGAAAGTTACAAGGGACCATCGAGAGACGTTCCAGCGGGATTTCGAAGGCGGATTGTGTAGTTGGTTTTCCTACTGGAAATCTAAAAGTGACCGTCTTTGGAACCGGTACAGCCTATCAGATATGAACAATAATACACCCAAATCTGCAGGCGAGGAGAAGGAAGTACGTGCACCTGAGACCTGCTGTGCACAGGACGCGTTGCCGTGTGCTGAGCTGGGTTCTGAGGAGCCGGGATCCGCGGGGCAGGATGCTGCTGCTGTGCTGCCCGCACCGCCTGCTGGAGCCTCCCCGGAGGCAGGGACCTTGCCTGGTGTGGAGACGGCTGAGGTTCTGGCAGAGGATCGTTCCTCTGACACGTTGATCTCTGTGACAGGCAAGGAAATGGCTGTTTTGGGTCAAGATGATGCAGAGCCAAGTGAAATTATAGGTGTGGAAGGACTGCTGCTGCTGCAGTCCTCCTTGCAGGATTCTGCTGTCAGTGACAATTTTGCAAATGGACCTTCCTCCATGGAGCTGGCACAAAATGAGGACAACTCTAGCCAAATGGAAGTGGAGGGCTCCTTAAACCTGGACGTTTTTAGTGCAAAGTTACTCGATCACCCGTACTGTAAAAGTCCTCTTGAGGAGCCTTCCCCGGAAAGCACAGGACTGAAATCAGGAACTCAGAAGGGAGGCAAAAGGAACAGTCAGAAAGCTTCTGGGGTGGCCGACGAGCAGTTGGCAACGTGGCTTTGTGGTATACCTTTTACACATCTTTGGGCTCCCGGGAGTTGCTGAAAACTGCTGGATGCCTCGTGGAGTTCACATGTTGCTTTAATTCCTTTATTGAAATAGATCCTTGTTTTGCATTGTAAAAGGCACTTAGCATAACGCTCAATGAAATGAGGCTTTAGAGGGGAGAACTGCATGAAGGCCAAATTAATGCTTATCTGATAAGCTGTTTGTGAGGGATAGGTGGATAATGCCTCTGCTTTTCATTTAGAGAATGCAATGTAATTGAATTGGAATCTTTGTGGAAAATCGTTGGTAGACACTTTACATGTCTCTTATCATGTGGTTTCAGAAGATGATACAGGATTGAAACTTCCAATTTTTTTTTTTAATGGTTGTTAATTATTATTCCTAACTTGGTATTTGAAAACCCTTAGTGTTCTAATACTTCCTTCTGGTGTTTTTCACTTACCTTTTGCTCTGTCTGAAACTAACTCATGTAATTTCATTAACCCAGGTTTTAAGAGCCAAGTATTGGTCATTGTCAAGTGGTTTTCCCCATGATTGTTTGTGAAGTAGGTTGAATGAATCTTCTTAAAGAACATTTTTCTAAAAAGGCAGAACTAGCCTCTCTGGAGCAGAGGCTTAGTATAAAGGCTTTGGGATTTTTTTAGGCAGTGCTGAGCATGCAGTATTTGATAGTTTCTAACGTGGATCATGGTAAAAATAGCAATTGGTGTCTTAGCTATGTATACCAGCATACTATGCACATAGTAAGGAGTAGCAAAGTAAGGTGATGTGCCACCTACTACCTTTAGTACAGTGTTCAAGTTCAGCAGGCTTCTGATGCCTGAAGTCCTCCTTTGGAGAAGCAGGCTTTGTAAATTCCCACAAACCTGCAGCTAGTGTCAGCTAGTGTTAAAGGGACTGCTTCAAGTTTGACGTGCTCTCATTTTTCTGCCCTCCTTTTTATCCTTGCCTAGCACTCTGCCTTTCCCTCCCCTGCAAATGTGCAAGTGAATCCCTAAAGCACAATGCGAAGAAGGACACTTTGGACCTCAGAACATGATTTAGCTTTCCTTACCTGCAAGTTAGTGTGGGATGTGTTTTCTCTGTGACTGACTTCACGTGATCCAGCGAGGACCAGGCATTGTGTAAAAAACTGAGGAAAAACTGTGGTACCGCAGCAAGCAGACCACTTCTGCAACGGAGTTCTGAAGGTTGTCCAGCAGAAAAAGGGATGTTGTCCTTCTGTAACAGTCAAGAACCCAGCTTGTATCAGGGTAGTTCAAGGTTAAAGTTTTGGGGTCTGATAGGCCATCGTGTTCCTGTTTGTGGGAGGCCTGAATAGCTTCAGAAAAACAAAAAGAAGGAAACAAAAAAGCCAGCAAATGCACTATACTTTTTCACTCTTTGACAATTTTAAGAGAATTCTTACCTAGCTTCTCAATGGAAGTAGGTTCCCATTTTCCTCACAGCTGGGGGCTCTTCTCTGAGGGCTGACACCAGGTCTGTGTTATCTACACGTTCATACTTCTTAGTCCTCCCAGCTGAAAACTTGCAAAATATTGTAGTTTTGATATAACTGTACATAATTCCTTTGTGTGTTTGGGAGTGTTTTTAAGAATTAACTGCATACCTAAAAGATCATGGCAGCCATTCTAGGGTAGATGCTCTTGAGTTTTGAATTCCTGTGTAGCAGCTGACCATGGATGTTAATGGGCAGCAGCATTTAGTGCGTTCTGAGGTACTGTTAGGTATCAAACAGGCCTCTGGTAAATCCTCTTTGCAATGATTGTATGGTCTTGTATCAGAGCTGAACTCCATATTTTCCTCCTTGAGTTACTCACAGTTACACCAGCTCAAATGAGGTCAGAATTAGAGGTCTCCTAGAGCTCTGCTACTCTGAGTTGTAACTATGAGAACAATCCTTTTTGTGAGTATGAACAAACAGCTTTTTAATGTTTTATGTATTAAGAGAACTATGTACACTTAAAAGTCCCGTGCATCTTTTTATGTAGACTTCTAATCAGTGAGAAATACCCTTCCTGTCACAGTCTACTAAGATGTAATGGATAAAAGTTGTAGGTAAGTGAGTGGCAGAGTTGCAGGGAAGGGTATCTCCTCGTGAAGGATGCTTTCTTGTTGCCTGCTCTCAGCCTTCAAGCCTCCCTTCCTTCTGTAACGCCTCCAGGTGTAGTTTTTGCTCTATCTCCACTGCTTTTCCTGCCTCTCTGTGTTTTGGTCTTGGTCTCTCTCCTTTCTTTTTTGTTCTTCCCTCACTGCTGTTCTCCTGGCAGTTCTTTCTGTCAGGTGTTTCTCATCTTGCTTCTTCCCATCCTGATCTTTGAAAGTTTCCAGGAAATATCCTTAGAGTCTTAGTAAGTAGAGAACTAGGCACGTACTGCAGCACCCAGGGATACCCTATCCCTCACACCCAGGCCCGAGAAGGGTACTGGAATTTGGGCTAGTGCAATTTCCCTGGGCTCTGTTCTCACATCCAGCTTTCCCTCTGTACATGCAACACATATTCTCTGCTGCATTTGGAAGTTCATTTTCAGAGAGCTGCAGAACTTGGTCTTTTATTCCCTTCTTCACTAGTAAGTGTTGAAATCCTGCTCTCTGTTCTCTTTCATTCTAAAATTAGTTTTGGATGCTTGGGTGGGATTTGTGTCTCCGCTGTTCTAGTATTGTCTGAGGGGAAAAAAAAGATAAATTTATTTCCTAGTTGTTGGGTTTGAGGGTTTTTTTGGGGAAAAAAAAGTCCAGTATTCATCTCTTGGTTAATTTCCAGCTAATATCTTTTAGTATTGGTGTTAGGGTTGTCCAGTGCTTTCCCAAACAAGGGCACTAGGACACTGGGGTGAATGAGTTAGCCTTGCTGGGGTCTGGCTGGTGTCCCTCCTGTTTGTAATGCTGGTGTCAGGGGAGCTGAACCCTGCAAACACTCTGCAGACCAGGGCTGTTAGCATTTGAGGAAAGTAATTCTGCATGCCATAAGGAGAAGGGACTGGCTTTTCAATGAGAACTGTTGCAGAAACTGATAGCTCTTCATGTTGTGGTAAAATTATTTAAGATGCTAATTGAAACAGGCAGTGGGCTGGATTCTCTTCATAGTACTGGTATAATTAGTTTGATGTAGATATGTGTGTATGTGGCATGAATGGGGTCTGATCTTTTCCTCTAAAAGCTGAATGATCAGATTTCTGCCTCTTTATTTTTGTCCTCCTCCCCCCAATCCCGCTGTTATTTATGTTGCCAATTTGAGCTTGTTTCTTTCCCTTTTTTAACATATACTTACCATGTGCGATGCTGTCTGTTGGTTGGGTGCAGAACCATTGCTGCTCATACTAGGAGGGAGTGACTACTTTATCAGAGCTTGCATTTTTTTTTCTTTTTTTTCTTTTTCACATGTTTGTGCTTTCATTTTTCTGGTGTATTTAAAGGATTCCTAGATGAAGTTATGAAGAAGTATGGCAGTTTAGTTCCACTCTGTGAAAAAGATGTCATGGGAAGATTAAAAGAAGTCTTTAATGAAGATTTCTCCCATAGGTGTGTAGCAGTATCACGTTCTTGACTTTATAAAGGACAAATTGCTTGCATTGCTACCGCGTGCTCCGTGTCTAACACCTTAAGGATTAGAAGTTTGTTTGATATGACCTTGACATTGACTTACTTTTTTCTGCCTCTTCAATCCTGTTTTAGAAAACCTTTTATCACCAGGGAAATCATGAAGTATCGGGAAAAACATCCAAAAACCTCCACTTGCAATTTCCGGGTCTTCTATAATAAGCACATGCTAGATATGGACGATTTAGCTACACTGGAAGGCCAGAACTGGCTGAATGACCAGGTCAGAGATGCTCGGTGTTTACGTGGTTCTTTACCCCTTTTTTAGCCCTTTTATGTCAGGGTGTCAGTTGCTCACCTTCTACATTATAGGTCTGCTCCCCTTACTTGAGAAATTAAAGAACATGGGGAGCAGCTTTTATAAGGGCGAGTGCAGTAATCGTGGTTACAAGCCTGGAAGACAGGAGGTGTCACAGCTAAGCTGCTTCCTTTTGCAGAAATGATACCGCACTATTTTGAGAAAATAATGGCTACCCACATGTGTTTTAGGGTCTCCCCCCGGCCCCAAGCTCAATAGTAGAAAAGCAGAACAGCAGAGTGAAGCAGCAAGCTGGCCCCCAGCCAAAAACCCAAGAAGGCTGTAGTTCCCAGGGCATGCACTGGTACACTTAAATTGAATTAAACTGCATTTCAGATTGAAGCAGACTTCAAGCAGCCAGTTACAGAGTCTCTCTCTGGGCAGACCACTATTAGTTCCAGAGCGCTTGTCCTTCAGACTGCAGCAGAATGTTACTGTAATTGCTCAGCTCCTTATTGCTGCTTTAAGTGGGGAAGGCCCTGCTTTTTATGGGAACTTGTGAATTTGGGTTTTACGAAGTTGTTCTGTACAAACTCAAATATTTACTAACTCTTGCAGATAATTAACATGTATGGTGAACTCATAATGGATGCAGTCCCTGAAAAGGTGAGGGTTTTTGTTTTTACATGAATGTGCCTAATGAGAGATTGAGAGGGAAGGGCTGAATATTTCAGGTACAGGATCGAGATTTAGCTCAGTGATGGTCTGAGTGGTTCCATTACAATTTGTTGTTATCTGTTGTTCAAATTTTCTTCCTTCCCTGCACTAAAACAGTTTTCAGTGCTGCCACTCGTTTCAGGAATCTGTTGCATTAGCTCTGCAGGTGGTCTCCGTGCTAGCCTGATGTTACTGACCTGCAGTGGAAGGCAGGTGCCCCGTTTGCTCCCATCCCACAGTCCTTGCTCCCCTGAAGGTTTCTGTCTCCATCTTGTCTGCTTCTAAAGCACTTTATCCATGCCCTTGTTCACCAGTCCGGTGTTTTAGCTGAAATTTCCACTAAATACAGATTTCTGCTGAGATGACAGACCATGAACGATGGAATCTGAGCCACGCACATGCGCTGCGCACATCCACCCCGCAGTTGTGGGGGCCACAGCGGCTCAAACTGCTTCTGCCGTCTGCTTGCTGAAGGGGAACGGACACAGAGTGGCTCCGTGCAGCACTTGCTGGTTTGTGCATCCTCAGCAGAGTGTTTACTGCTATCCACCGGCAGTGTCTAACTGTTGGTGGCACTTAAAAAAAAAAAAAAAAAAAAAAAGGAAAAGAAAACAACAACCCCCTCTTCTGTCACTAAATTTGCGGCAGCGGCAATTATAAAAAGCCATCTGTTTACTGGTAGAGCTGAACAATTTTCAGGTGAGACCACAAAGGAAGAGCCAAACAAAGCCATTTTTAGATGAGCTCTGCAGAACCCAACGCTTAAAATCTTCAAGCTCAGAAGAAAGAGCGTTGCTGCTTTGATTGGTGGTGATGGTGATTCTTCATTAGTATTCTCTGTACTTCCTGAGCGTGCGCTAGGGTTGTGGTATTGGAGATTGTATCTGTTTGCTTGTGTCTGCTTTTTCTTCATAGTGCATAATTGAAATCCTCATGGGAGATTTTGTGCTGGTACCTCAGAATGTGGTTTTGAAGTCTGCTGGCATAGCTAATGGCTGTTAGCCTGCATTTTCAGATGCTGAATTTTCTAACTTTTTTAAAGTAATAACTCAAGTCTTCTACCACCTCTACACTAGCAGAATTATCAAAAACAGATGTTGCAGTTTTGCATTTGTATTAATCCATTCCTGTAATTGCAAGAAGCTAAGCATGGGGGATAACAGTGTTAACCTGGAGCTAAATAATTGTTTTTAACATAAGTCTGCTTTTTTTTTTTCCATAAACGTAGGTTTTTAGTTACTCAAAAAACAGATGTGGTTTAACTTAAAAATGCTTTTAAATAGCACAATATAGTTTTTGTCTGAAGTCTGGAGCTGGTCATAGTAGTTGAATACAAATGACCATGTTGTTGGATTAAATCTCATAACTGTTTTGATGAAATTTATTTTGATTTCTTTTTTTTTTTTTGAGTCTCAGAGCTTCCAGCAACTAGAAGCCAAAGTTACTCCCTTTTTCACCACCCCCATTTTGCCAGCCCAATGATCTCTTCCTTAATCCCTGCAAAGAACAACAAAAACTAACTCCTTGTCCTGGTGTTTTACTCCCGGTCCCATCCCAAACAAAAAAAAATTAAACATGATATGCCTGGAGATATCAAAGTGTAAATACAAATGCTGCAATGACTCACATCATATATTATGGGGAAAGAAGGCTTGCTTTCTTTGTCTGCTGAAGAACAGCGATAGTTTAGGCTTGGCAAAGCCTCTGTTTGTCCCTACTGGGGTTCTGTTTCAAAAACCTGCATTAAATAATGCCTCATTGCAAGTTGTTTTATATAAATTCTCCTGGGGGAGGGGGAATGACTGTGCATGAAGATTTCTGTGCTCATTCCTCCTCTCTCTCTTTTTTAGGTTCATTTCTTTAACAGCTTTTTTCATAGACAGCTCGTTACCAAAGGATATAATGGGGTAAAACGATGGACTAAAAAGGTATCGTTTAACTCCATGTTGTCAATGCTGTGGTTTTGGGGATGGGTTGAATCACTAACTTGAAACTGGGAGCAATGTGTTATCTGGAAAGGATGGGTTTGGAAAGGAGCTGTACAAAGCGAGCTGTGGTCACTAGACTCAGTAGGGTGATACTGTTCAAGTTGGCTTGCTTACGTTGTGAAACTGTACTTTGAATAGCTTCATCTTCGGTGGTAGGTTATCTCTTTGTGTATGTTCATGCAAGCTGTTAATTTAGCTGCAAGAAATATCTTTTACTGCTCCTGACAGTGCCAGGTACACTAATCTACTGGAGAGCAAACTTAATTTTGCTTCTTCCATTTATCTCAAGCTCGGATTGTTTGGTTAAAATAAAATTTTTACTCCTGAGTAACATATGCAGGTATTAGCAGAAAATAGAGACCAATAATTAATAAGCCATACTGTCGTTTTCATAACGAGGACAGAATTTGCCTTGCTTTCCGGAACCCACACCATATCAAGGGTTGTAATATTTTCTGGGGTAGCTAATACAAAGAGCAGCACTCTTTTCTGTGAACATTTGTCCTTTCTAATGTGGGAGATGAGGCAAGACTAATCAAGGACCACGCTTGAATGTATGATCTTTCTGCAGGAGCTCTTAAATAGCACACATCTGTGAAATGGTAGAGATGAACTCATTATCCAAATATAAAATCTATTCATATAATTTATTAAAACCTCTTTAAAGGGACACTGAATATTGGTACTTATTACTGCAGGATTAAAAAAAAAACGTTCTCTCTAGCAGTCTAAAACCCAGGAAGTGAAGGTAGGTTCCAGAACCAGAGCCTGTGTTCATGTTGCAGCTGAAGAGGGACCAGATGAGAGCAGGACAGTTACTTAAAGACGTTCATACTTGAATTTCTGAGGACTCTCTAAAGCAAGGACAAGAGCTAGAGAGTTTCCCTTGGAAGGATTCAAGTAGACTGCCTCATCCTGCAATGTGCAATTAAGGAGAACTTGTTTCTGCTTTTCAAACACGCAAGAGCACTGTTCCGGGCTCTATAAACGTGCTCTTCTGGGACACAGGCAGCCAGAGCCCAGAAGGACGTGCTCCTCTGCCTGTAGCTGCTGTGCTTCCACAGCTCCTGCTCGTGTCTGTCCTGGCTGCTGAGCACACTGATGCTCCTGCTCTGATCTGCTGTTATGTCAGCTACCTGGCGCTGCGCTGTCTCGCTGGCACGACTCCAGGTTGCCACCATCATTTCTGTACACCGGCTCTTCATTAAAGACTCTTCCAGCTCTTGGCTGCCTGTTTCCACTCTCCTGCTGCAGGTTTGCACGCCTGCAGCAATCCTTCAGCTAGGGCCACTTGAGGACTCTTGAGCTTAGCCGAGCTCTGCTGTTGCTGTACATCACAGAAGGTGTAGTTCATCTGTCTTCTTCCAGCTTTCCTTTGAGGGCCGGGCTTGCTGCTGGCTCACATCTCCTTCTCCTCTCTGAGGATGATGGATCGTTGTGTACCGAGCGTGCTGTGGTGTGGTCAGGAAGCAGTTGCTGTAGGTGGGAGCAGGGATGCTTGTGACAATCAGCACACTGTTGGGAGCAAGGCTCTGCTGGTAACTGCTGTGAATGCTCAGACCTTTTTCTGCCTTCTGCCTCCTGCTGCTACTCAAAAAATACACTTTTCTTTCCTACAAATGACCTGCCTTGTACCAGTGTGCAGCAATTATGTACTGTTCAAATTGCACGGTGCTTTAAAAAAAAAAGGCAATCTTTCCACAGGGTGAGTTAATTTAATTCAGTATTCTATTTCTGCTTATTTTCTGTACTATACCACCAAAAACCCAGCAATTAGACAACCATTTAGAGAGGAGCTGGGAGAAGGAAGATCATGAAAGGCCCTGTCTTGACTGGCTTCCAAAAGCATAAGGGCTCATCTGCCTCACAGACACGGGGGGTGTTGTATCTGATCTGCTTGTTCTGTACTTTAAGACCTTCTCCCTCATTTGCCTGCCTTTGGCCACGGTACATCTGCTACGGCATGAAGTTCAAGCAGGCATGGATCTACTTTGTCTTCTCCCCCTCCCTTCCTCTGCTCACCAGAGCACTCCTCTCCTGCGTTCCTCAGACCAGGCGCAGAGCCTGCCTCACGGCAGAGGGAGTCGAGCTCCACCAGCCTGCTGGGTTTGTGGGATGCTTGTCAGCACAGCTGCACAATGTGTCACCTACCCGGGATGCAGATCTCGTGAAGCCAGTGGGATTCATGCTGCAGGAATGCCGTTACCGAGATATGTGACCAACCCCTATTGAGTCTCAGCTGTGTTCCCATTGTTACTCAAAAGCAATCCCACTTGAACGCAGTTGTTGAAGCGTAATGTGAGCAGACTTTTTGCCACAAACACAGTGGTGACTAGCTCTGGTACTGTACAGTGCTCCTTAGCTACTTTCTGTGCTCTAACTATTTTTGTGTCTGCTCATAAGTTGTGTGTGAGAGAAACATGAGGAATGTACTGGAAGAGAACTGAAGAGCTTCAGTTAGGGGGTGGTGGGTGGGTAGGAGATCTGGGTATGATTCATCGCATGCTTTGCTGTGTTGTGCCTCTGGAATTGTCTCTAATGTGTATTGTTCTTCTTGCCAGGTGGACTTGTTCAAAAAGACTCTCCTGTTAATTCCTATTCACCTGGAAGTCCACTGGTCCCTCATTACTGTGAACATCCCCAGTCGAATCATTTCATTTTATGATTCCCAAGGCATTCATTTTAAGTTTTGTGTAGAGGTAAGAGTGGCAGCTGTTGGCAAAGTTTGAACTGTTTGCTTAAACCAACAACCCCCCTTTTCCTTTTCTCTCTTAAACTTTCAATGCAGTACGTCTGCTGTCCTGTTGTCTGTGAAATGAGAATCAGCTTGCTCTGCAGAGGAGGAATCTGAAGCACAGATTTGGGGGGTCCTAGAATGAATCCACACCAGGGAGTTGAAGTCAGATTGCATATTGCGTAAATAGCCTGACTGTGTAGTCCACACACCTCTTACTGCTCTGTCTTGTCACTCCCACCAAAAGCAGGAGCTTGAAGCCGAGGGCCGTGGGTAAGCAGGTAGTCAGGAGGAGAGTAAGAGCAGTTCTTTAAACTGCAAAAGGGCTTGCCTTTAGGAAATGACAAACTGGGGTCCTTTTTTGGAGGAGGTTGCCTAGGTGAGAGAACAGGACTGAAGATGCTATAGTGCTGCCCAGTGGGGTTTATGTGTTACTGTGCTATTAACAGTGTGTTGCCTTTTTCCTCTGTCCGCACGAGTACAGGGTGAGTACCTCTGATTATAAACCTGCAACCTTTTGAAGCTACTACCTGAACGCTGGAGTTAAAATATCAGTCTTTCTTGTGAAGAACAGTCAGGAAGTTTTTGCTGGGACTAGCGAATTGTAATGACCCTCTTACAAAAGCTAATTTTGTCGACTTAATTGCTTGTTTGATGTAGCAGCCCTCTATTTTTAACTGTGTGTAGTTGTTGGCTTACAGCAGAGTAGTAATTATTGTACCCGGGAGAGTTCCCAGCTCGGACTTCTGAATGAAGATACGAGCTTCCTTCTGGCATTTGCTGAAGGTGAAGCTGATGTTTGTTCGGGGAGTGAGAGACCTCCTGCTCTCTAGCTTCTGAACGTGCTGCGTAAACCAGGAGGCCCTCTCAGCAGCCCTGCAGTTTCTCCCGTGGCCTTGCAATGTGGCCTCTCCCATCCCTCTCAGGGCAAGGCATTTGCACTTAATTGACTTAATTGTCTTACGAACATGAAACACTTTTCTTCTTGCCCTTTCTGGGGAGTAGGGGGTCAATACCCAAAATTCCTCTGTGGTCCACCCATTAAGGTGAACCTCAGTGTGCTGGAGTGTGTTTAAATTGTGCTATAAACCACCAGCCTGTTTACAGAGAAGGAGAAGGATTTGCTTAACCCAAGACCAGAGGCTCATTTGTCTTGCTTCCTTCTCTCGTGTCAGACTATTTTTTCCTGTATGTCACTAAAACATTCCCTGGGGCTTTGCTGATTAGCTGCAGAACTCAAAGCTTTTTGTACCGAAATTTGGGCAGGAAAAGGCTATCATCCTGAAAATATAGGCCTTGGTGTCAGCTGAGTAAGTCGAGAGACAGCATGTGTGGGACTGCACGGTGCAGCTCTGCATGTCTGAGAGCACTCTGACTTTGTGTACAAGTGCCACAGCTACCCCAAGATTAAGTATGCCAGCGTGCAGTGGGGCAGAGGGATGTTAAAGTCTCCCTTGATGGACCAGAACAAGCCTTGGAGTTAGAAGGTGCTGATCTCTTTGTCTTCAGATCTGAGCTGAGCTCCTAATGTGTAATGATACCTGAAGTTTGTCCTCATTGTCAAAAGGATGCCAACAAAGATGTCAGTGTCTCCCTCCTGTTTTTTAGCTGGTGAATAATAGTGGGTTATTGTTTGTTTTTTCCCTTTCCTTTATAAAGAACATTCGAAAGTATTTGCTGACTGAAGCAAAAGAGAAGAATCGCCCCGAGTTTCTTCAGGGTTGGCAGACTGCTGTGACAAAGGTAAATGGCAGCCCCTCGAGTCCTGAAGTCTGGCTTTCTGGCAGATTTTAGGAGATTGCTTCTAAACCCATATATTTTTTATAAGTAGTGAATTGTTTCATGCTGACTACAAGGAAGATGGTAGGAGCTACACGGGTGGTTACACATGGGAATTAAAGCTCTGTCACTCATTCAACTCCCTCCAGGTCTTTAATACTTTCTGCAAGTGACTTGGTGATCTGAGCTTGATCTCTGGTCAGTTAAATATCTGTGCAGCAAAACCTGTAGCCAGTGCCGATGTTGGAGGAAGGTCAAGGACAGAGTGAGCTGGAGACTCAGCTTCCTAACTCCTCCCAAAAGGACTGTTCTGAACTATGCTAAATGGATGGGATTTGGTGAGGGAGGGAACAGGCGAATGCTGCTGCTGCCTATATTTTATATTTGTTATGGATAGAGAGCTTTGGTCTCCAGGGCTGTTTGTAGCACATTACATTTGATCACAAGTAAACAAAGTCTGGCAGCAATAAAAGGGAATAACTTGTGTGTAGTGTAAATGAGGGAGTATGTGATTTGCGTAGCCATCCCATAATGGCTCTGAAGATATAAAACAGGTCATTGCACACTAGACACTCCCAACAACTCCCTCTTTACACAGGATTATTTTTAGATGCTGCTACGATGATAGAACGATTCCCTTCCACACTCACCCGCACCCTGTGCAGCCAGGGTTTGTCCTCCTGCAGTCTGTAAGCCGGAAGATTTGGGAGTTGAGAAAAACCATTATTTTTCCCCTTCATGTTCCAGAGGCGTAGCAGCACTAGCAAGTGGGACTTCTTAGCCCTGTATATCAGAATTCAGCATGTCTGGCGAAGTGACAAAGGTTGAAAATTATCATTTGAGACTGCCTCGCGGAGTCCTGTTGTCTGACAGCGTGCTGCCCTTTGTGTTCTTTGAGAACCTTTGGTGTGGCAGGGGGAGGAAAGCCACTTGTCGGTAGCATGGATGCCGAGAATAATCTTCCTCTAGACCTGTGTGACTTTGCTGTTACAGTTCAATCCTGTGTAAAGCAGATAGTGCTGTACAAACATTTATTTAAACTAATTGAGAAGCTGTTCTGCATAGGTTGCTAAAAGAAAATAAACTTGAAAGAAAGATTTGTAATTTGTTTTCAGGCCTATACGATATGTTTTTCTGAATGTTAGGTGTTGTTCTAACATGGTGTTGAGTGTCACCTTGCAGAAGTTGGGATCAGAATAAGTAATAACGCCAGTTCCTGCTGCTGCAGAACAGTTGGTTCTGGGAACAATGTACTTCATTGTTTCGTAGAATCTGCTTTTGGACTTGAAGCAGGACTTAAAGAATTAAAGGATGGGTAAGGATCTAACACGTCTATTCATGTTTGTTTTCCTTCAGTGCATTCCACAACAGAAAAATGACAGTGACTGTGGGGTTTTTGTGCTCCAGGTAAGAGAACTGCTTTTTAAAAAGTAATCAGTAGCCTGTATTGTTCACATTGTAAATGTCCTTTTTTCAATCAAGCCTTTTCCTTTTCCTCAGTACTGCAAGTGCCTCGCCTTAGACCAGCCTTTTCAGTTCTCCCAGGAAGATATGCCCCGAGTGAGAAAAAGGATTTACAAGGAGCTGTGTGAACGCCAGCTAATAGACTAATAAAATGCAGCCAACCTAATTTCTCTGGCATTTCTGACAAGTTGCAGCTGGTGTTTGTGTACTTGAATTTCTGAAAACTTCCGTGAATTTTGAGCGATTCTCAGCTGAGTGGTGTGGCCACTGTTGTTACCTCAATTTTTTGACAAGCTCTTTAACTGGCAGAACATAAGAGTTGCCGTATAATATTCCTTATGTCAGTTTGGTTCTTTTATGTTCTTTCCTGTATTTAATATTTATTATCTCAGCATGCATATAGGCAAAGCATGCAACTAAACCATAAAACTGTAGATTTGGTGCACCTTTGAGATGTAGCTAGAAATTGACGAATACAGGTGAATTTGTCTGGAAACATAAAGATGCATGATATGTTTTCTGATGCAATAATGCTTTGAATGTATCAAAAAAACTCAATGCCATAAAAAGAACAGCTGGAACCTATTTGAGTATTCTGTTGTCCCTGATGTGGCCGTATAGTACCGAATTACCACTTTTTAGGGTGGCTGAACATCTACATGATTTTTAGGGTGGCTGAACATCTACAGATTTAATTTCTGGAGACCTCTTTTTTAAATAGCTAAAGTAGCTAATAAAGTTTGTTCTGTTAACACTTAACCAGCTGTCATTATCAGCCTGTCGCTACAGATAAAAAGCAGCCCTTGCACAAAAAGAAAGCTTCAGCCCTTGTCTGTATAATAAAAAGTGCAAAGGTGTTCAGTCAGATTGATAGTATGTTCCTATATGCTGCAGAAGTCTCCATGGTGTGTGTATTAAGGAGAATTATAAACCTGGCCCTGAAGAGGCACAGCTCAGATAAGATACTAAGATAAAATCCTTGGCTGTAACTGTTTAAATCTCAGATGGCTTTGAGTCATTTTTCAGTTCCGCAATATGAAATGAAATGTACCATTTTGCATCTCCCTTCAGCTCTGTCTTCAAATGAATTCCCTTCTATCTTGTTGTCTTTAACCTCCCATTGGCTTTTTCCTTTATTCAAATATAAATTAATTCATTTCTCTTGCATCTGCTATTTGATTGTCTCAAGCATCCCTAGCTTCGTTTGCGTTCAGTAGCGCTCATGCTTGGGAATAATAGCACTTGTGGTGGGTAGGAACACAAAAAAATTGTTCTGCTCCAGAGGGGATGGAGGCTGTAAATCCAACGCTGAACTTTGCCGTATTGTTACACTGAGCAGGGATAAGTGAGAACAGTGGATCTTGAGACTTTTGTTTTTTTGCCTTGATCTCTAAGCTGTGGTGTGAAGAAAGCCCGTTTTGTCTGAAGAGGCTGCTGTATGGGACTGCTACAGCAGCAAATGCCTTCGCTGTGTTTTTGGGCCAGTTGAGGAAGTGAGCCCAGGGGAAAACTGTTCTAAGTGCTCAACGTCATCTGTTGCACAGATTCACTTTGACTCGGTGTCTGTCCATAGCTCTGACTTCTGACAAAAGAAGACCATGTTGACTTCCCTGTCTTGCAGATTAATTCGGGATTGAGCAAAGCCAGGTGCAAATCCCTCCTAGGTTGTCAGAGGGAGCAGGGAGAAATGAGGGAGTGCCAAGAGCAGTCAGGCCAGGGGATGGAAGCATGTGCGTGCTGAGTTGTGCTGGAGAAGGAGGTTCTGCAGTATCCTTGTGTGTTCCCACTTCCCTTGGTTGGCAGCTGGCAAGGACTGGCTTGGTTTAGCAAGGTGAGGAAGGCCTTTAGCTCTTGGTTAGATAACTTAATCAGGGAATTTATTAATTAAAATTAAAAAAATAAAAAATAAATAAGACCTGGCCTGGCCAAGGATAGGTTTGCCTATCGTATCGTGCAGAGGGCCCCACAGCACATGGTTTCTGTGTGTTTCTCCAAAGCGTTGCCTTATACAAACGGCAGCACCTTGTTGGGGTGAGTGTCTGGGAGCAGTGGAGGGTGACTTCAATGAAAATTGAAGCTTGGGATGCAGTGTCTCGTGTGCTAGGCTTGAGCATTTAGGGTAGTGCTGCCATTCTCATCTTCTCTCCGCACTATCACATGAATGGCACAAATGCTCATGCTGCAGTGTGGTGAGACCAGCACAACTGATCTGGGTTAAAACTAAGCCAAAAGGCCCAGAGGACAGAGGACTTGCCCCAGTGAAACTTTTCACTGAATGTTTATACCAGATGAGCAAAGAGGGAGGATGGGTTGGCCAGGAAGAGGCAGGAAAGCAGTGCCAACTTTGGATGCATGCAAGTGAAGCTGTGTCCTCAAGCAAGACTCCCTGCAAAAGGGAACTGCAGAAGTGAGTTGCCTTTATGTTCAGAACTTAAAATGTTGGTAAGGAAGTTTGAAAGATGTGCAGTGCCAGTGTGCTGGCCTGGGAGTGTCAGTGCCTCCAAGGAAGCCCCTTAGTTTTCATGAAAGATGTCATGTGCGTGGACATTTTTCATTGTGTGGGAATACGGTGGAGCTCTGGACCACATAGAGTCCTTTCCTGACACTTGGTGCCTACAACTGGTTGGTAGGAATCTGTCTTCTCAACGTGAGAGTCTTTAATCCCGATCCCTTTATCAGTGGCAGCAATAAAAGCACGGTATTTCTGTGAACTTTGTGTTTAGCAGGAGTAGGGATGCTTTGAAGCAAGTGCATATGTGCACCAGATCGTGTGAGGGGAGGGGGGCTTGCATTTGAATCTGCTGCCTTGTGAGTCGGGGAACAGGGTGGGGAAAGACGCATGTTGGAAAGTACTTCTTGTGTGCTTCCTTGTCATCTAGAGGTTTGCCGACAAGTGTTCCAGTTGGTTATGGGGCAGTACAGAGAAGTTGAACTCGAGTCTCCAACTGTGAATACACCAGTGAGAGGCCTCTGAAAAAAGGAGGGGAAATTGAAAACAGAGCTAATGTAAGCAAAGTATGTTGGTGTAGGGTGGAAATTAATCACAGGCCGTCAGAATCTCAGACTCTGTAATGGTGTATCTTGTGAAACTGGACTAATTAACTCCTCCTTGAGAATGTCTTTGATGCCTTGAAGGAGATGGGCTCCATAATCTGCAGTCATTTTACCATTTCTTAAAACATTCAGAACTATGTAGAGTGTTTTTATTATGAGAGGCATATTTATGTGGATGTAGTTATGGCTGTTAGCTATTCCATTAATGTGATATTCAGAATTTCATAAATCACTCTGAACTGGTTTGGCTAATGCTTAAATTTCATGACTTGTTCGGAAGAGATTGTCTCGCTGTGCTGAATTATACAAATAGTCCCAGAACTGGTGAAGGCTCCATCTCATGCATGACAAATTCAAGCTACCTGAGTTGTAATAAACCTTAAACACAATTGGAAATAAATGATTAGTTTCCATTTTGTTTGCTTTAATCTATAGCTTAGAATGACTGTGCAGCTGATATAAATCAAACAAAAATTGAAAATGTGGCCTTGATTCTGCAGGGCAGAGAAATACCGATTGCTAAGCCTTTAGATATTGCAGAATGGAGGATGGACCTTTGTGCTGTTTAATGTGCTGTTGCTCCATTCTTACCTGGTCCTTTTGAGTGTGAAGGTGATATCTTGAATGTTTCGCTTGCACTGATCGCTGAGCCAGACAGGCTTGTGAAGAGTTGATGCCTTGAGTTGCATCTCTGGCATAATGTTCAGCCTATCTTTATTTCCTCAGAGGTTTGATTGGCATTATCTCCTGTAGCATTTATTCAAGTTAATGTGAAAACTTAAACCTTTGGAAGTGACGTAGACCGAACTCCTTCGAGCAACATCTGTGTTTTGTGGGTGTGTTCTTGCATCAAATGAAGCCCATGTTCCTGTGAAGTAATAAAACTGAGTTTTACCATAAACCCTATTTTCTTTCAGCAGTTTGGTTTCATTTTAATTTTAAAAGCAACTGGTGTGATGGTTGAGGGAATGTTTGTAGCAGCTTGTTTTGGGATCCCTGTTGTATTAGGAGAAGCCTCTCCAGTTTATTAGTTCAATAACTCTGAACTGTACGCTAATGATGCTCTTTGCTCCGCAGCATCGCGGTGATATAGCTTACTGTGGTTTGAGCTGTGACAGCGTACAAGATTGGAGATGTCACATATTGCATAAATAAGGGTGGAAATCTTGCATTAGACACTTTCTACTAAGGTGGCATTTAAAAAAACACAGATCTGTCAACAGAACAGGTAGGATTTAAATTGCTTTTCTAGATCAAACTAAATTAACGCCCTTCTGGTATTGCTTGTTGATTTAGCTATGTAACTACGGAGTTAAATCTTGTCTTCACTGAATTTTACAAAGCCATACAGCTTGTGAATTTGTGATAATGGGGGGAATGAAGGCTTAGTGAATGACTCTTTAAGCTATTAATCATGAGACTGGCAACATCATTGTCTTTATTACGTTCATAATTTAAAAATCCTATCATGGAGGAGGAAACATGGATGCTTGTTAAATATATTCTTTCATTGGAAAGTGCTAAGAAATCAGATCATTAAAGTACAAAATCATAAGAGACACTAGAGCCTTGCCAGGAACAATAATTACTATTTATATGTAATAGGCATTGGGAGGGAAAGAGATGAGTCTGGTTTGCTTGCGCCTGAACTTAATGGATTTTATGAGTAACCAACTAGAAGAATTTGGGGATTGGATTTACTTTTCAGAGCGTGTAATATTACAAACTGCAGAGCTAAAAGCTGTTGTAAACGGAGTGAAATATCTTGAGAAATGAACTGACTTGTTTGCTCTGAACGCATGTAAGCAGGACATGTGCAAAGCAGCTCCCACCCCTGCCTGAAACTCTGACAAGCTTTTTTTGTCGTTGTTGTTAATTTCTGTGTTTGC